CCCATCAGCGTGTGAATGTGTGTGTGAATGGGTGAATGACTGATTGTGTTGTGAAGTGTCTTGGGGGGTTGTAGAATCCTAACAAGGCGCTACACAAATACAGGTCATTTACAAGTCCAGTAGCAACAAGGCTAGGCCACCGTCAGCCCACGATTTTAAGGCCTTTTTCAGCTTCTTCAAACTTGTGTAGGCTGCGCTGAAAATAGCTAACAGCCACAATGCAGGTATAACCCCGGGTTTCCACGGGAGCCGTCAGCAGCACGTTACTGCAGCAGCACGTCTTGCTTGCGTAAGCTGCTGCTTGGCCCTTCCCATGAGACGCGAAGCAGCAGGGGAGCAGCTGTCACCGACCGAGCACGAAGTCACACGAGTGACTTCGTCAGTAAACACAACAACAAGCAGGAGAAAATTACAACATGGTTTGTGTTTTATGTTCTGTCCGTTTTATAATCGCCAATACGGACCTGAAAAACAAAGGAGACCGCTAGCTAGGTGATAACTTCTCACGGGGACGCACAGTTAGTAACGTTTTATAAAAGTAAAGCAACCGGAAAGCAGTGCGTTCTTTATTCTGAAAATCTCTGGAGCTTCTCTCCATTTCCGCGTCCAATTTCCTGTCTTTCCTTCCCCAAAAATGTCGAACTTGACCCGTTTCAGAGGCGTCGCGCGTAGAAAATAGAACCAGCGCGTAAAGGCCGCGACATGCTGCTCCTGAGACGCGGCCGACTCGCGCTGCTGACGGCTGCTGACGGCTCCGGTGGAAAAGGTTCTGTTGACCACAGCCGTTCCTATCAGCAGCTATGACGTGCTGCTGCAGTAACATGCTGCTGACGGCTCTCGTGGAAAGCCGGGGTAAGAGTGCACCCTATAATCCCTATCCGCCCCACAGAACTGTTAAGTCCAGAATCTGGCCAGCAGAGGGCTGCAGAGTGGTGTCAAATAAATCTGGTCAAGTTTCTAACTCAACAATCACTGAGATCAACGTTAAAGCTCTAGCTTGAAGTTTAAAAACTATTTAGTGTTACTTTAACAGAAAGCAAACACACTTAGATCAGCATATGAGGTCTAAGGCCTTAAAATCAAAGGGATCAGGCCCATCTTTACATCATGTGATGTGTTTAGCATAAAAGATCTTTTCATCAGCTGTGATCAGCCTCTTTGGACTCAGTGGAATTAAAAGTCCAACCACCAGACTGTCACAAGAAATCACACCACAACTAGTTCAGTTCAGACTGACTCCTCAAAGGCTTATGTGCCTTCTTTTAATTCCAAACAACCAGAGCCACACTCTTCCCATGCTCCCCCACGCTGTCAGCTTCCTGTTTGCTTATTAGGCTTCATATTACAAAACTCCCGTACTCGGATTACATGCTGTTCCCTGTCTGCTCACATTGATTACTTTAAGAAAAAGAAAAAAAAAAACACCCTAAGGACACAAACACAACCAACGTCAACCATTTATGTGGTGAAAAACACACAACCTAAAAATGTTTTCTGTTTAGTTTCTCGTTCCTTTCAGATTCCACGGCATTAGGGATTGGGGCCGACAGTGACTCACTGATCATTCACAGGGGAAAGGTACATTCCTCTGTGTATCCGGAGATCAGGAACGATATGGATTTTGTCAGGAATTCCCCATTTCTATCACTTGCAAAATGATTCAACGATGAGTCTTGTGCTTGTTGCATAGTGTCTCAATGGGATGGCTCATTATTGATAAATAAAAAACTTTCAAAAGTTTCAAACCAGAATTTGTAGTCTAAAGTTTCATTAATGCTCTGTTGGTAGAATTATGTTCTTTGCTATAGTTGGTGGTAATATGAACTACTGCATGGTCTACTGCAGGCGTGTCCTAAATGTAAAGCCTGGGCGGGCATTTGCAGCTCTTGGAGGGATTTTGTGCACCCCCTGCATTTCTAGAGTGATTCATTTGGTCTCTCCAGGCTGTTGATGTAGAAAGATACTTTCTAACATCGTTATGGTCAGATTTGAACTATATTGCGCATTTTAGACATATTTTGATGAGTAAACATGAGAAAAAAGACCACCATAAAAAAATCCCAGGGAAAGATGTTGCGGGATATTGATAGATGGATCGGTGCTGCGTCTGCAGTGATGGGGAGTTGTACCGATCTGTCGTAGTGAAGAGAGAGCTGAGCCGGAAGGCAAAGCTCTACATTTACCAGTCGATTTTCCTTCCTACCCTCATCTATGATCACGAGCTTTGGGTAGTGACTGAAAGAACGAGTCTCTCTGCGTAAGCTGCTGCCACCACAACCTGAAATAGATGAGTGGACATTTTTTGGCCTGCCAGGACTAGTAAATTTGTCTTGAAAAGTTTGAGCATGGCAATAACTTTACGTTTCCTACAGGAATTAAAAAAGGTAAGTGCTAAGTCCTTTATAAAATCAAGAATGTTGTTACAACAATCTAACTTCGGTCTAGGCCTTGCTTGGACAACCCCTTTTCTTATTGTCTTGTTTGGAATTAAATACCATCTCTCCATTCTGAAGCTTTTAACAGAACAATCTGCACCAAAACATTAATTATTCATGGCTTTGTTTACAGACGTCCACCAAGATCTGAGCCATCCCTTTCAGGTACGTGCCTTTTTCATGAGGTAAGCTGAGGGGTTTTATGGTCTTCCAGCCTGTACTATGAGATCTCTTCAAATGATCCCGAATGCAGAAGATTTGGTCTTCAATCAGCTTAAAATATCACATGTCACACCTCTGTTCACTGAGCTCCACTGGCGACCGCTAGCTGCACACATCAAATTCAAATCGCCAGCACTAGCATACAAAGAAAGTCCTGGATGGTTCGGCTCCCATCTACCTGAATTCTCTTGTAAAGGCTTACGTCACGGCTCGGCCGCTACGGTCATCAAGGGATCGTCGGCTAGCAGTGCCTACACCACACTCAGGACAATCCAGACTCTTTTCATGTTTAACTCCACAGATGTGGAATGACCTACCAAGCACTGCCAGAAGAGGGACGTCCTTGTCGATTTTCAAGAAACTCCCAAAGACCCAGCTCTTCAGAGAGCATCTGCTAAACTAGGACCCTCCCTGCAGCTGTCCCCCACACTACTGTCCACTCCTTGTTCACTTCCCTTTATGATTCATTTGGTTGCCTCACTGCCACCTAGGACTGACTGATTCGTGTTTTGTTAGCCTCAAAGGCAACCTGCTTGCTTCATTATCACTAGTAAGTTGCTTTGGACGAAAGCGCCTGCTAATTACGTAAACATGTAAATAAGTATTTCTGTAGAACCAATGGAGATCAACTCCCCTGACTGTGCTTGTGAAAGGTGGGAGTATTCAGTGTGTGAGTACACCTGCTTCCACCAGATACAACAAAGGGGGTCTCACTCTGGGGGGTGGGTGGGACTGAGGGTATGGTCCAATCTAATTACAGACTCCTGGGAAATGACTTCACTGAGTGGACGCCCAACCCACATCTCCTTCAGTAGTAATAAGAAACTAGACTGCTTTGTTTAAGCCAAATAGAGTTTTATTTTATTTCCTTAAGTCGTTGACTCTTCAGCATGAAGAGATAATCAGTCTCTATTTTATCTTTTCTTCAGATCTTCGTGTCTCCTGTAGTCTCTGTAATTGCTGCAGTGCATTAGTCACTGGCATTTCTCTTTTTTTGTGGCTTGAACATCCGTTTCCCTCAAACTCAAGACAAGCTTTAAAGATGAGATCCAGACAAGCACCATCGTGCTCATAACCAAATTAGAAACCAGCATATACCACTGCTCCTCTCATTCCCAGGACATTAAACTGCATCAACAGGCCTCTAATGAGCCACAAAACCAGTGCATTTGCCCTATCTGCACTGGAGATCTCGTCATTAGCCAGTGTGAGCACTCTGACTGAATTCTTTCTGACGTTTTATACTAATGAATGAAGATGCAGAAAGTGGCATTAGAGGTTAGAAATGTGCATCTGTGTGTGTACGAATAGAATAGAAAGTTGCTATATGCAACCATTATGAGTCCTAATGAAAGAGATATGCTAATTCTCTTGTTGCAAACTTCAGAGCTTTCAATAACCACAACCTACATGCAGTAAGGATCACTTCCTGTTCAAAAATAAACTCAAATTCAGAAAACAAATGCAAAAAAGACCCTTGCAAAATAGTCACTATTAGACAAGTGGTTCAGCTATTGCTCTCTGATAGTATTAAAGCGCCATCTAGTGTCTAGCAAAAGGCATGGTATTAAAACTACTTGTTTAAACTTTATATTTTTAAACAAAAACTATGTATTCTTTGCCTAAACATCACAATTATGCCCAACAATTATATTTTAAACCAGAAAAAATTCTTATATGTGTTTTATCAAAGGCAAAAAATAAAAAAAAATGTTAAAGGGTTGGTTAACATGAATTCAAACACTTGTTTTTTGTTTTGTTTTTAAAGGCAGTAACAAAATAATGTCTAAAGCTACAATGACGCAGCCTGTTCCTGAAACGTCAGCTTTGTCATTTTTGCCTTTTCAAACACAAAGGGAATGTAAAGCATGACAGCATGTTGGGTTGTTACCTCTGAGTCATGTACTTTGTGTAATTATCAGTATTAAACCACTACATATGTTGACCTGTCTTGATAAAACCCAAGAAAGTAGCTGGAATAAAGGTTTTAGGCTCTTTAATCTGAAATAATGTGCTTTAAAAAAAGCAGGTTGCATATTTTCTTCTAAAACAAGGAGAATTTTAAATGGAACTTTCCCCTTTATTGTTTGTTTAATTATTTTTGTTGACAAAAAATGTAATAAAGCAGAAATTAAAGTGGAAATATAAATGTAAAATCAGTGTCATGCAAAAATTTTTTAAATAGATATTTCACTAGAAGATGGTGTAGCACAATCCTAATTCTCAATGCTAAATTTTTGTTTTTATTATTAGTAAATTTTATTTATACATTTAGTGTAAATGTTTTTAAAACAGGAGGAAGTGGAGCTAAATATGACGGCCTTTAGGACCCTGCTGCTGCCCAGCTCTGAGAATCACATGATGAGAGCTTCTGAAACAGGCTGGACGCTGAAATGCTGCCTTAGAAAGGTGGAAGCCTCAATCCTACTAAAATAAGAATAATTTATGTCATTAATGTCTGAGCTGTAGATTAAACTCCTCATAAGAGGCAGTGGACATGGCTGCTGCTGCTCTTTTATTGCTTTTTGCAGTGAGCTTTGCCTTTTCATCTGAAAATCTGGTAAGAATGTTCTGTGATTCTTTGAAGTTTAACTACCAGACAATATTTCTATGATCTCAGAATAACACAGAGAGAATTTCCCCAGCAACCTCTCATAAATCTGTTTATGGAAACACGTTTTTAAAGGCAGGATTTCCATGCTTGTCATAATTTTCTGGTAGGTTTCTGCAGAAAGATCTTTTTGCATCGACTACAAAAACAACTGCTTCCTGAAAGATGGGAAGCCTTTTCAGTACATCTCAGGAAGTATCCACTACTCCAGAGTCCCACGCTACTACTGGAAGGACCGTCTTGTGAAGATGTACATGGCTGGACTCAATGCAGTCCAAGTGTAAGCTCATCTGTTGTGATTGATTCTGTTGGTCAAAAGTGATTTCTCTTTAATATAACAAAACTTTCTCCACCGACTGATTAGATATGTGCCTTGGAACTTCCATGAACCGGTTCATGGAGTCTACAACTTCACAGGAGACAGAGACTTGGAGTATTTTTTAAGCTTGGCCAACCAGACAGGCCTTCTGGTGATTCTGCGCCCAGGACCATACATCTGTGCAGAATGGGAAATGGTGAATAAAAAATAACATACATTTTTGTCGCTGTAGAAATAAAGCAGAAATGGGTAAGATGTGGGCATGACCAGATCCAGCTATAGTATTTTTTAAAGAGATAATGTGTAGTTTTTACTGTTAATCTCTGGAAATATCCATTGAAAGAGTGAAAAATAATGGCAGCTTCATAACATATAAACATAGAAATCAGGTATAAAATACATTGCTTTTCAGTATCTTGTGTGGCCCCCACGAGCTTGTGTGCATGCTTGACAACGTCGGGGCATGCTCCTAATGAGACAACGGATGGTGTCTTGTGGCATTTCCTCCCAGATCTGTGAGGGCATACCTGAGCTCTTGTACAGTCTGAGGAGCAACCCGCACTGCCAAGTGGACCGACACATAATGTCCCACAGATGTTCTATTGGGTTTAAGTCAGGGGATCGTGAAGGCCATTCAATTTTTTCAATTCCTTCATCCTCAAGGTACTGCTTGCATACTCTTGCCACACGAGGCCGGGCATTGTTGTGCATTAGGAGAAAACCAGGACCTGCTGCATCAGCGTAGGGTCTGACAGAGGGTTCAAGGATTTCGTCTCGATACCTTATGGCAGTCAGAGCACCATTTCCTAGGAAGTAGAGATCTGTGCGTCCCTCCATGGATATGCCTCCCCAGACCATCACTGACCCACCACCAAACCCGTCATGTTGAACGACGTTGCAGGCAGCATAACGGTCGAGCAGTGCTCAGCCTGTTCCGCCTTGCACAAAGGAGCAGGTATCGGTCCTGCTGATGAGTTTTGAACCTTCTACGGCCCTGTCCAGCTCTCCTAGAATAACCGCCAGTCTCCTGAAATCTCCATGTTCTGGAGATTGTGCTGAGAGACACATTAAACCTTCTTGCTGCAGCACGTGTGGATGTGCCATCCTGGAGAAGTTGGACCACCTGTGCAACTTCTGTAGGGTTAAGGAATTGCCTCGTACTGCCAGTAGAGAGCCAAAACTAGCACGAGTGGAAAACCAGCCGACAAAGATCCAGAGGGAGAAACTTGAAATGACCTCTACATGTTAAACCAGTCCTGTTTTGAGGGTTTTGTTATTGTTGCCACTTTAGTGCACCTGTCGTTAAGTCCATGAACACCAATACAGCTGAAAGTGATTAACAATGCCCTCAGCTGCTTAATCAACCAGGAAATTATCAGACAGGTTTAATTGATTTCATGCCAGGCCCAATAAAAAAAGTGTTCCTTATAAATGTATAATCATTGCTGCTTTGTCTAAAAGTTTCAGAGCATCAGCTAATCGTCCAAAAATGAACTGCTTTCATTAGAAAATACATATTTTCAGAAAAGGCACTTGAGACTTTTCTCTCGCAGCGATGGATTGTGGTTAAGCCATTGCTTCACCCAAGTCTGCATCGCTGCGGACTTGGGTGAAGTGCGGATCAAGGGTGCAAATGGGCGTGACCAACTTCTGCATTTGAGAATCGAGGCACCCAGTGCACTCACACCCCTGGTCAGGATTGCACAATTGAAGGGTGTAAGTGTGAGTATTGGGATTGGGCCCAAGTCTCTGGGTGATGCCATATTAGACGCAATGTTTTCTTCTACGGGAGCCTGTGAGGACAAAACGCGTTTACTGATTTGTAACAAGAGGTCACAAAATTTCGCCATTCATAAACATTGCTGTTTGCACATTTACCTCTTCGCTTGCTCGGGACGAAAGGGGGTCTGATGTGCTTGTGAATTTGCTGGAGGTTGAATGATCTGACGAAGTACTCGTTTGAAAATTGTGCTCCCAGGGATTTTGGACCCTAATGGCCATCAGTTGGTACGGTCTTGTACTGCCCCCTATTGGCAGGAAAAATACACTCTATCACTTTAAAGTGACAAAGCCCTGAAACAGCTGATTCTTGAAGGCACTGAAACGGTCAAGCACAAAACTGTTTAAACCACTTCATGTGAGAGGGATTTAATGAAGAACTGAGAAAACATGTTTTGTTCGATCAACCACATAACTATTTTCACTTCAGAAGATAAGTCATAATACATCTTTTTAAATGTGTCACTATGGAAAAGCTTTTTGAATATGTTGAACCCTTGATTATTACACCTTTAGGTTGTTTATTATAAGGTGATGATGAGATGTTTTTTCTTGACCTTAGTCCATCTTGTATAGAAATCACATGAATTATTTCTGCATTTATTTACATTGTAGGGTGGATTACCAGCATGGCTCCTCCAAAAACCAAACATCGTACTTCGCTCAGCAGACACAGGTAATTCCTGCATGTATTTGTCTGTTTTTTTAATTGGTTTTATTTCCTTCCATTTTCTTTTCACCAGATTACTTGGAAGCAGTCAACAACTGGCTAGCTATTCTCCTCCCCAAAATCAAGCCATGGCTCTACATCAATGGGGGTAACATCATTACCGTCCAGGTAAAGTAATGAGACGGTAATAATTTAGAGCGTGATTACTGGTCTTAATGCAATCCGCTTATTCTTAGGTTGAAAACGAATATGGAAGTTACTTTGCTTGCGACTACAACTACATGCGTCACCTTCGAACAATGTTTCGCTTCTTTTTGGGTGAGGACGTCATCCTGTTCACCACTGATGGAAACACAGACAAGGAAATGACATGCGGGACACTGGACGGATTATATGCCACCGTGGACTTCGGCACAGGTTGGTTTTCTGTGACATTTTAATGAGAAAGCAGCATTTATTTGTAACTGATCTCTATTCTTTTTCAAGACACCAACATAAGTGACGCCTTTAACCGCCAGAGACGATATGAACCTAGAGGACCTTTGGTTTGTTGCACACATATCTCTCTGTCATCAATTAAACATGCAGTGATAATAAATTAAACATGTTTGAATGGCGTTGCAGGTAAACTCTGAGTTCTACACCGGCTGGTTGGACCACTGGGGGGATCGGCATGCTGTGGTTGATGCTCAGAAGGTCAGCAGAGTGCTGGGAGAAATGCTAGCCATGGGGGCCAACGTCAACATGTATGTCTCCCCGAACCCTCTATGTTTGATAGACAATGCTTAAAGTTGGAAACTTTAGTTTTTAGCTCATAATAACAACGCACAAATTTATGGCTTTAGTGAGACGTTACGAGAAAGTCAGAAAATAAATAATTGTCTCTTTTTTTTAAATCCCAGGTACATGTTTGAAGGAGGGACGAATTTTGGCTACTGGAATGGTAAAAAAAAAAGTATCCTCCAGTTACAAGTACCTTCTGTTCTGTTCATAACTTTTATGGACAGGATTTCTAGGCGCAGCCAAGGTGTTGAGGGGTTCTGCTTTGGTAGCCCAAGGATCAGGTCTCTGCTTTTTGCAGATGATGTGGTCCTGTTGGCTTCATCAGACAGTGATCTCCTGCTGGAGCGTTTCGCAGCTGAGTGTGAAGCGGCTGGGATGAGAATCGGCTCCTCTAAATCCGAGACCATGGTCTTGATTCAGAAAAGGGTAGAATGCCTTCTCCGGGTCAGGGATGAGGTCCTGCCCCAAGTGGAGGAGTTGAAGTATCTCGGGGTCTTGTTCACGAGTGAGGGAAAGATGAAGCATGATATCGATAGGTGAATTGGTGCTGCATCTTCAGTGATGCGGGCGTTGTACCGGTCTGTCGTGGTGAAGAGAGAGCTGAGCCAGAAGGCAAAGCTCTTGATTTACCGGTCGATCTACGTTCCTACCCTCACCTATGGTCATGAGCTTTGGGTAGTGACCGAAAGAACGAGGTCGAGGACACAAGTGGCCGAATGAGTTTTCTCCGCAGGGTGTCTGGGCTCTCCCTTAGGGATAGGGTGAGAAGCTCCGTCATCCGGGAGGGGCTTGGAGTAGACCTGCTGCTCCTCCACGTCGAGAAGAAACCAGTCGAGGTGGCTCGGGTCTCTGGTCAGAATGCCTCCTGGACGCCTCCCTGGCGAAGTTTTCTTGGCACGTCCAACTGGGAGACCCTAGGGAAGACCCAGGACACGCTGAAAGGACTATGCCTCTCGGCTGGCCAGGGAACACCTTGGGATTCCCCCGGAGGAGCTGGCCCAAATAGCTGAGGAGAGGCAAGCCTGGGCCTCTCTGCTTAGGCTGCTGCCCCTGCGAACCGACTCCGGATAAGTGGTTGAAAATGGATGGATGGACATATAACTTCATTTATTTTGATCTCAAATAGATCAGATAGCGGCATGCTATTGATCTGTAACCTCTCTCATGAAGGTGCGGATCACGACACCAGGTTCCGCTCAGTGATAACAAGTTATGACTACGACGCCCCGCTGACCGAAGCAGGAGACCCCACAGAGAAGCTGCTGGCCATGAGAGATGTCATAAAGCTGGTACAAATAGTTGATAGGCCACAAACTTACACGGATATCTTGATTGTGAGTAATTAATCATGAGTCCTCTTCAGTTTAGAGAAGTCCCCTCCGGCCCCATGCCACCAGCAACTCCCAAGTTTGCTTATGGCTTTGTCACACTGAAAAAGGTGAGAGAACTTCAGGAAACTTGACATTTTCTTATAAGTGTCTAATCCAGACACATTTTTACAGGTTGGAAACATTAACGGTGTGTTGGACACAATTTCTCCTCTGGGTCCGGTCACATCCAAGTATCCGCTGATGTTCGAAGAGATGAAACAGGTACGATATTGGCCTGATGGCAACGACACAGAAGAGCCTGACCACAGGAAGCCCCTTAAAAACATGGAAACCTTCTAGGCTGTTGTGTCTGCAACCTGTCATGTGTTTTGTGCTCAGTACTATGGTTTCATGCTGTATCGGACTACGCTGCCCCAGGACCTCTCAGAGCCCACGCCACTTATATCTCCACTGAATGGAGTTCATGACCGTGCATATGTGTCTGTCAATGGGGTAAGGGGACCTTTGTCTCACCAGCCAATCAGATTCACTGGTGGTGGTGGTGGGGGGGGGGGGGGGGCAGGTAAAGCTGTCCTGTCAACCGTAGGTTATCATGGAATATTTTAAAGTTTATAACTGAATGTGAGTATCTACAAACAGGTTTATCAAGGCCTGCTGGAAAGAGACGCTGTTCTTGTGATGAATGTTACTGGACAGCAGGGGGACATACTGGACATCCTGGTTGAAAACATGGGGAGGGTTAATTTTGGCAGCAAGATAAATGATTACAAGGTAAGGAAAGAACACAAAACTATCCTAGATAACAAACACCTGGTGTTTCAGGTACTGTAAACCAGAAAACTAACATATCAACGACGTTTGGGCATTCCAGGGCCTGATGAGCAACTTGATCTTGGGTAAAGACGCACTGACTGACTGGAAGATCTACCCTTTGGACATTGACGGAGCCATTTCTAGTGGATGGCCTCATTCAAATCAAAAGTCTGTCTCGTCTAAGCAAGCAGCGCTTTCAGCTGGACCAGCTGTCTACATGGGGACCCTACAACCCAATGGCCTGGCATGGGACACCTTCCTCAAGCTAAAAGAATGGACAAAGGTAAGGACTCCAGTGTGGGAATAAAACGTGTTTCCAGGGCAAATTGAATGGCTCACATGTGTGGTTTTGTTATTTGTGATCAGGGCCAGGTTTGGATTAATGGAGTGAATTTGGGACGGTACTGGCCAGCCAGGGGGCCCCAGCAGACCCTGTATGTCCCTGGGCCCCTGCTCAGCACCAGTCTTCCCAACAACATCACACTGCTGGAGCTGGAGGCAGCACCGGCACACCTGAGGGTTATTTTTATGGATTGGCCTCAGCTCAACATCACAGCTGGAAAATCTTGACATTTAACTTTTTGATAAATATACAAAAGAACGATTGTCAAAAAAAAAAAAAACCATTCTTATAGCTTTCGTTCTTAACAGCATGCTGAAGATTTCTTGTAAACTTGTTTTATTGCATTTTGATACATAATTCATCCAAAATGCTGCAGAAAATACAACAAAAATAATTTTGAAATATACTTTTTCCGACCTAAAATCAAGAGCTTCAAACCGCCAAAATGCTGCAGTAGTTTTAATGAGCGAGTCTCCTTCCAATCAGAAGCTTTTTTAAGTGTCAGGTTTTGCCCGAGGGAACGTTTGCTTTTCGATGCGCTTGAACGCAGCGCGGGGAGCAGAATGCATACTCGAGACAGTGAAACGGGATCTTCCCAAGTAGAGACTCACCACACATCCAACACCTCCTGTTGATGAAAGCAACCCCAAAGCATGAAGAGAAGAGAATAACACCAAATTAAAGCACAAAGCTGGAACAATTTGGCTAATTTCAATATGCATCACGATGGAGCCCAGGTAAATGAGTCCTTCTGGGGAACTTACTTGACGTTAGAGAGACCGACTCCTGTTGCAGCTGCTTGCTCTGCCAGCCTCCTTTCTGCTGCCAAAGCTCTCTAAGCAAAACAGAAATGATCAACATACTCGCATATTTAAAAGAAATAAAATCATACACCAGATACATGTTTACCCACCTTTTCTCGATCCGTCAGTGATGCAAATCTCCTTCTTTCTTCTTCTTCCTCTAACTCCTGCTTTTTCTTCTCTTTTTGCTCTTTTTCACGCAGTTTCCTCTGAGCCTTTTGGGCTTTTTTCTTTTCAGCTTTCTTGGATTCGATCTCTTCCATTAGTGGACCCGGGATCTGAGGAGCAGTGTTAAAATATAATCTCCCTGCTTCCGTTTAACACAAGAAACCGGAGAAACGATGCGGCTGAGCTTTACCTGAGCCCTGCTGTAGTCGTACTTATCAGGATTCTCACCCATGTATTTACGGAAGATGTTCCTCGTTTCCTTATCGGGGGTGACAGTGTATGGTGTCTGGCCTTTCTTGTCCCTGTAAGGAGATTAGGTTACTTGTTTAAAATTTTAATTAAAAATAAAAAAATCACAAAGGTTGCACGACCCGATACCTGCAGGCTGGGTCTGCTCCTGCATCTAGAAGCAGCCTGACAACAGCTTTTTGTGCAGCTGCTGCAGCGACGTGCAGCAAGGTGAACCCAGATGAGTCTACTGGCTTGGTCAGGAGGCTTACAGGATGCAGAACCAGAGAAGGGTTGCTCTCCAGCTCTTCACAACTATCTGGCATTTCCTGAGGCAGCTGGAGGAGACTAGACAGAGCACCCACATCGCCAACTTTGCACGCTGTAAACAGTGCATCCCTCAGCCCATATTCGCGTGACTCAACGTCTAGAAAAGCAGAAAGCTAAATGATGAGTTTCATCGTGCTTTTAGAGCTTTACAGCAATGAAATGGTCTTGTCACATCAGTACTAACCATCTTGTTTTTTACTCTGTGCTTTCGTCTTCCTCTTTGTTGAGGATTGAGTGTTTTCTTCTACGGTTGTCGCCTCGTGCTCTTCCTTCTCCTGATTTTCTGCTTCCGTGTTACTTTTTTCTGTTCCAGATGAGGACAGGCTTAACAGTGTTTGTATAATAATCATCCATATGAGTTATTGATCTAAATTAACCTTCTTTTAGCTGTTTTCCCTCCTTCTTTCTCCTCTTCCTCTTCCTGTGCCTGGAGGGATAGATCTCATTCTCCCTGAGGTCCAGAGTTCCTAGAGTGAGCTCCACCATTTCCAACTGGATCTCCCCTCCGTCGTCTGAGCTTTCAGGACCTTCTTCTGGTGGAGGCTGCAGTAAATCTGTATTCAAAAATAAAATGTAGATTTACACATAATCCACCACAGACATTTGACAGCTTTGTTCAACACACCTGCCTCCTGCTCTGGGATTTTTTGGGCTGCAGGTTTCACAGTTCTTTTCCACACCCTCTTATTCGACGGACTCACCACAGAAGACATGTCTGTTTCTTTCCCTGCAGAATGACCATTCTGATTATTCAATAATTACACCCCAGCTGTGCCGAAACGAGCAGACACGCTGTTCATCCCAAATGTGTCATTAAACGTACCATACACGTGAACGGTGGAGAGGACCTGGTGTATGCGCTGCACCTCTCGGAACGTGGCTCTGCGCGTGGCGAAAGGGATGGAACGAATTCGGGGATCTTTTTTCCCCAAAGGAGCTCCACGACCACCGAAGAAGATGGTCTTGTTGTAGCTAGGGGCTCGCACAAATATTGCAGAAGCCTTGTCCAGGTGTTCAGCCCAGGTAACCAGAAGATCTTGAATGTCCTGTAAAAAACGATCAGTAGAGAGAAATTATTGCTTTTATTTCAAGGTGAAGAGGAAATGTGTTCTTACCTTAACGAGGGCGGCTTCGTTGTACCGCCGCAGAGTTGCTCCTGCAGATTTTGCCGTCACGCGGCTCTGAGAATCTCTGAGACCTTGAGTCGTGCCTCTCTTTGCTCGGACCGTGTATCGGTGGAAAGTCTTGTGATGAAGGACTTCTTTTCTGAAATCAATTCAAGGTTTATGTAGTGCTTCACACAGCCAAATAAGACGAACAAAGTGCTTCCCAGCAAAAGACTAGCAATGGGTATTGGCAAGAATCTAGTGATTCGATATATATATTGCAATAGACGTTACGATATGTCACGATACTAAAAGTCAGACAATATTTGCATTTTTTAGACTAAATTTTAGGGATGTGAATCTTAGAGCAACTCACGATTTGATTCGATTCCGATTCTCGGGGTGCCGATTCGATTCAGAATCGATTCTCAATTTATATCGATTCACAATCAGTATTATTAACAAAGTGTGTCAGCTCCAGGATGAACTACTTTGTCGTACAAGTCATTTAAAGCTATGGGACATTTTTATTTGACTTTAAACCGGTCATGCTCCAAAAATGCAAATTTACAAGGTAAAATAAAGTGATTCTAAAACTGTAAACAGAAGCAATCTTTTGACCAAAAGGCAACATTTATTTTTGCTTACCTTGTAAAATATAACAAATCTGTAGTTACCCAACAGTAGCTTTGAAAGTAATACGGTCAAATACTTTTCAAGTATGTGTAGAAACAAGTTACATGAGTAATCCTGAGTACTCATTTATCAACTTAGAAAATAAATATGAGAATATCTCAAATTTCTGAGTATGGAAAAAATTACATTCAAGTGTCCTCTTATCAGCAGATTCAAACACAAACCATCTCAATTTATGGGACCACAAAAGTAAACGGAGTACTGACTCTCCTAGCAAAGATCAAAAAAGTGCATCTCAAACCTGTAACATGCCAAATATTTGAGTTCTTGGAATTGATTCCGAATCTTTATAAATAAGAATCCCGATTCAGACTTGAATCGATTTTTTAAGCAACTCTACTAAATTTAATTTGAAAGCTCAGGCCAGACTCTCCCAAGACATCCCGAGTTACCCTAAGATCTTACTGCTCCATCAGAGTGAAGGTGGTAAAGTCTCCTGCCACCTAGCAGTCGGAGTTTGAATTGCACCACACCAAATTAATTCAGAAAATATGAGCATTTAAATTTCTGATAAAAAAAATATAAATCTACACACGGATTTGAAAAATCGATTTGGTATCATATCATGAAACATTGCGATATTTCAGTGAATGGATATTTTCTAAAATTTTCTTACCAGAAATAAAATGGGAATAGAAACAAAACCTGATTGAACCATAAATGTAACAGAATGCAAATCATATCAGCTTGATGCTAACTGATCATTTACCCGTCTGTCGTGCTTACAAATACATACATGATCAGATAATTACCCTTCAAACACAGCACCAGCAAAGTGTCCTCCCCCAGTCACAAGAATGACCCACACAGTCTTCTGACTTATGGACTTCATGGAGAAAACTGCATCTACCTCTTCTTTTGTCTGAAATATCATAATATTGTATATAACCAGAATAAAAACAATGAGTGATTTAATCTGTATTTGTAATCCTGGTCCTACCTTTCCCATCAATGCTGCTTGATAGACCATTAGATACGCTCCTGCAGAGTTCTGGAACACCACCTTGCTGGAGAGTCGACCAGTCATCGCTGAGCTCTCGTCATCTGTGCCGACATCATTATTCCTTGTTTCCCCACTTTTGCAGGCAAAGTCCTCTTCCTCCGAATCAGACTCTGAGCCTGAGATACTTGACAAATCTCCTGTGAAGCATCAAAAATCATTTAGCCCTCCATCATTCCCACTAAATATAATATCTTCATTTCCTCACCAGCTCCAGTCTTCTTCTCAAACTCCTCGGCCGTGAGGGGATTTAATCCTGACACTTTTTGCCTCAAGTTAAACCGATGCCAGTCAAGCTTGTAGTGCTCCTTCTGCAACACACACACCTCAGCTAGTGTTAATCTATCTTAACACGTTTATTTCTCAAAACAACTGTGTTTAAGGCAACATATCACCTCACCTGTTCCTCACGGTTGACAAAGGCACATCTGCAGGCTGAGCAGACCATTTTGTCTGACACCTCTCTGAGCAAATGGACATCCTCTGGGCTTTTATCCTCCAAACCTGCACGTAAAAAAGCCGATTTAATTGGGTATTATTTGATATGACTCAAACATCTCCACTTATACATACAGTCGGTTCTGAAAGACTCCTTGAAGTCGTGGTTCACCTCTTTCAGGCCAAAAATCTCTTCCTTTGAGCTTAAATCAAAGATGGAGCAGAACTCGGCACAAGTTGTCATTGTGTTTTTGCCTGTTTAGACAAATAAAACGTGACATCAACAAAACATTGTGTTTGGTAAGCATTTGTGACACTGGGTTGTCTAAAATAATTTAATATTTTTATTTAAACACGAAAATAAAAATCATTAAACCTTAAAAGTGCCACCCAGTTATTTTTGACTGAAGTTGGACTTGAGACAGGCACGTGTCCTAAAAATATCGCATTTCCTTTTTACGTTTTTTTGTTCGAAAAGAATATTTTGGTTTCTATCGCAGCCAACATAAATGACAAGTGAATGGTTAAAAATAAAAAATAGCTCACCTTAAAAGGACGAGAGAGCTGGGAGGAAAACGTAAACCTTTCTTCTGACTCATACGGAACGGAAGCCCAGGAAGGACATAAAAGCTTGACTGACGTTTTATAAGTCTGCTGCCGCACCGCACACAGACCAAAGGTCGTAATAGAATTCACAGAATGTTCCACAGCTCGTATCACTAAACTCACAAATAGGAATCGTAGCCATATACACTATGATGTCTCTATGTTTACTATTTATGTCAGAAAGACAGAACGGGTGATGTTCATCTGCGGTTTCCACCCGGACCCTTTTATATGTCACACACAGTAAGTTTTTTTTTTTTTGCAAACAACTTTTGGTTTATTAGTTCCTAGTCAGTTTTTTTTAAAGAACTTTTATTGAACCTTTGTAAAACGAACAAAAACGACTACATTTCAAAAATTGTTAGCAGAATGACATTACAGAGTAGCTCCAAAGTTCGTGTTCATCTTAACTTTCATTTTGTACCTACAATTCAATTTGGTATAGTAAAAAGACAATAAACAAAAACAACAACAAAAAAAAAAAAAACAAAAAACAAAAATAGAACATGAAAGGATACAAATAAGACAGCATGAAAAAACAAATTATGTGAATATAAATAAAGTTTTACAAGGGGGAAGTTAAAGAGCAAACAAGGTCAATTGTTTATATCATCCAAAAAGCAGTTAGAGATTAGTGTTCATAATGAAATCATAAAGCTTTATAGCATTGGGGGTGGACATTTTACCTATGGATCTCAACAGCAGTTTAATTTCATTTTTGAGATTATTCCACATAGGTGGATTTTTGAGATATCGGCATTTGTGTATGAAAAATTTTGTTAAGATTATGAGATTATTAATTAGAAATTCATTATTTTTATCTTTTAGTATAATGCCAAATAAGATATCTTCAACTGTGAAATTGTTTATATAAATTTGATTGGAGTTCAGCCAATCGTGGAGTGATTTCCACATCATTAAAATTTGATCACATTCATAGAAAAGATGTTTAGTCGATTCATCGTTTTGTTTGCATAAGTAACATTTTTCCACATTGAATTTAAATCTAGTTTGTATAAAATGGTTAGATGAGTGAATATCATTCAAGATTTTAAAATGGACTTCTTTATACTTTGGGGGTAAAGAGAATTTTAGATAGTTGGCTCTCAAAACTTTAATTTCTCCTTTTGAAAAGTTGTGTAGTAACGAGAATCGGAGTATTGGGTTTGGATAAAAGGTTTTGTTTAATTTGTTTCTCAGGAAAATATTATTACATTTTTTATTGAAAATTTCTATCCCATCAACTGCTAATATTTTGAGTCTAGGGTTAAATATATAACCGATAGAAGCTTTAACTAGATGAACCAGAGCACTTGGGATATTTTTAATCACCTTATTATATTCATTTTCAGAAATGTCAACATCATATTTGAGATTGAAATTCTTAAGTGAAAGGGTATTTCCATTTTCGTCTAAAATATGTGTCACTGACCAAATTCCTCTGTCCATCCAACTTTTTACAAATATGGTTTTGTTTCTATCCAAAATAGTTCTATTATTCCATATCGGAACATCATGTGGGCTGAAGTTATGTTTGAAAACCATTTTTCCAAAAAAGAGGACTTGTCTGTGGAATTCAGAAAGTTTGAGAGGCAACTTCGGGATTTCAAAATCACATCTTAATAGGAATTCCATTCCTCCAACTTTTTCAAATATAAATTTCGGAATTGTATGCCAAATTTCCTCTCTATTTATTAAGAAGGATTTAAGCCATTTAATTTTTAATACTCCATTCAAATTTTCAAAATCTATAGCTTTTATACCACCATCTTCATAATTCTTAATTAAATCGCTTTTTCGAATGTAGTGATTTTTGTTCTTTCATATAAAATCAAGATTCATTTTATTTATTTCTTTAATAATTTTAGGAGATATGGCCAATGATTGAGCAGGGTATATCAGTCTAGAAATGGATTCCATCTTTGTTAGAAGAGTTCTTCCAAATACTGTCAGATCTCTTTGAAGCCAACTATTTAAAATTTTTTTGTTTTTTTCTACTGTGTTCAGAAAGTTCTTCTGGTTTCTATCACTTGGAACATTTCACACACAGTAAGTAAATGATAGCAAACAAATGATGGAATTTAAAAAAATGTGCACGGGGGATTTTCTTTCAAGTAAATAAACTGAAATGCTGCATAACTTTTGGCTGTTTCGCTAAAGTGATAAATTCTGCAGTATGTTATTTATGTTGTGCTCTTGTCTGTGGCTAATGTTCAACAATTATGCCACAAGAACTCACATTTAACATTATGATCAAAGGGGAACATAGTTTATCTCCTCCATTTCTCTCCTTATTCCTGCTCTGAGTCCCATCTTCCCTTATTACAAGCTTTACTGTTGGAAAGCTGATCCATAATTACGGTAAACAATATTTCTGCTCAAATTTATTTCAGGAACAGCAAAAAGTAAATGAAAAACAGTCTCTGGTATGAAATGAAAATAACTTTATTGATCGTAACACAATATATACACATTTACTGTAATAATTAAAGACGCGTCTAAAAGTGCATGCTAGTAGCCTACAAAAAGAATGCCAAATTATTGTTTCTTTTTCTTCTTTTCTTTGGATTTTCTGGCTGGTATTGGGCTTGCAGCTTGTGCTGTAGATAAACAAATACAGTGTGATGATTCAGATCCAACTTTATCATTGGATAAACAGCTTTCCATACCTGGCTTTTGATTAACCTTGATCTCTGCCAGATGTTCTTTCACCTTCTGGATTTCAGCAGCAAGGCTCCTTGCCTTATCTGCAGCGGTCTTGCTTCTGTCTTCCAAAATACTCATTTGAACTCTTAAAATAGATGTACAAGGTCAATTTGTGCACGTATGATTTTCTTTGAACTGCAAATGGCCTTCCATATTACCTGTCTGATGCAGCCTGATCATTCAGTAGCTCTGAGAGATGAGCTTCCTCTTGCAGAAGACAACCCAGCTGATGTAATGCATCGACCACTTCACCATGCCCCATCATCAGCTCCACTCTTTGTTCAGCTTCACTCCTACTACAATTGAGACAGAACTCATAAGTTGGCTGGCTACGCAAATTTCAAATATTAATTTACCTCGTTATGCAAAGGTAAGCCTTATTTCCTCAACCCAAATGAACACATATACATATACATGCACACACATATATATACACACATGTATGTACACATACATACATACAGTATGTGTGTTAGCAGACGTGCTAATTTGCAACACTTGTCCATAGAACCTTTCTAAAAAGTAGAGTACATTTAAATAAAACACAAAGAGATCAACAATAAATCAAACAGAAAACAGATTAAAATTGCAAACAATTTTCAATAAAAAAGAGTAAAAGAATAAAACAAGGCAATTTGAGCAGCAATGTAAGACTTTGCACACAAGAAAGTCGGTTGCCTGTCTGAACTTCTAACTAGTAAAGAATGACCTCATTACTTTTGTTCACATTCATTGTAATGTTGTGATTGTCAATAAAGTTTTTCCAAATGAAAAAAACTTTATTCAAAACTTAAAAATTATTTATCTTAAAACAACGAAAAGAACCAAAGGACGGGTCTACTTACGTAATTTATTCTTGTTTTTATAAGAAAGAGTTGCTAAAATTTTGTAACACAGACCTGCACTTTGACGTTAGAGGACGTAAAGTCGGGGGGTGGGGGTGTGTGATTGTTTGTTTGACTGGACTGAATTAAAATCTCCACACGAAAATATAAACGGTCATATAAGGTCAGTACCTGTCATTTATCTCCTTTTCAACAACCTGTCTTTTCTGCTGCACTTCATTTAGTTGACGGATGTTTTCTTGGATTTCATGCTGAAGCGCTTCAACCTGCCAAAAAAGTTTTTCTTTAATGGAATCTTAACGACTTTTTTTGTCTGCTCATTACAAGCAGAGAGGTTACGTACCGTGTTATTTTCGTCTGTCGTGTGCGGTTTTTCGAAAGAAGTGGTCATGTTGGATCTAACGTGCAGACATACGCTGCACGCGCTAACATTTTTTGGTTTATGACGGTTACTTCCGCTTCGTCTGTCAGAGCCCGGATAGCTCAGTCGGTAGAGCATCAGACTTTTAATCTGAGGGTCCAGGGTTCAAGTCCCTGTTCGGGCGTCAAAATTTTTCCGTTTTTCTTGCAATGCTATGGAGAATTTTTTGTATCAATATTCATAACTCTGGTTTAAAAAAGTGAAATATTTTAAATAACTTTAATATTTATTTTTGTCTTCTCTGAGCCTTTTAAATGCACTCACAAACGGAATGGAAAACAAAATTATTAATACCGTTCAGACCTATAAGTAAATGCATGTTAGAGGACGATTTAGCTTTCCTTTCCTTTGCAGGGTTGTGGGGAACTGGTCCCTTTACCCAGCAGGTAACAAGTGGCAGCGGACACCCTGGACAGGTGGCAAGGCAGCTTTGTTTGAATGGCACATGTCATACACAGAGGCAATTCAGTGTGCTTTCCATTAGCGAGAATAGCATGAACATTAAAGTAACTTGACTGCACAACTCAAGTACACAGTTCAAATTCAGTTTAAAAAAGACAAAGCTGAAGGGTGAGCAGTTACAGTGCAGACGGTGCAGCACACGACACTTTCATTCAAAGCCTGACAAATACATGAAAGTTTTTGATTTTGATCTAAATGTTACTAAAGTTTGGGTAAATTTGCTGTCATAAGGAAGCTGATTCCATTTGTGTGCAGCATAGTAGCTGAAAGCAGCTTCACCCTGTTTGGTTTTGACTCGACATGTCAGCAGTTCATCACTGTTCCACCAGGACATACAGCTACCGATATTTACTTAAGTCACTCACACATTGGGACAACTTAGCGTCATCGATTTTACCTAACATGCCTGTTTTTGGCTCTTGGGAAGAAACCCAGAGGAAACCCATCCATGTAAGGGGAGAAGATGCAAACTCCATGCAGAAAGACCACAGCCAGGATTCAAACCTGTGACCTTCTTGCTGCAGTGGTGGAAGAAGTACTTGAAATTTTTACTTAAAAGTACAGATAAAGAAGTAAAAAAAAGTACTTAAGTAAAAGTGGAAGTGTCCAAGATTTGGAGTTAAGTAAAGTTTTAAAGTATGCATTTTCAAATGTACTTTAAAGTAAAAAAGTAATAGTATTCAACTAACATTTAATTATGCGTTGTTTGCATACAAGTGTGCTGTCTGACCAGGGGGTTGGACAAAATGCAAATTAAAGTACTTTTACTTTTGAAACTTTGTAGAAAATGTAGTGGAGTATAAGTACAGATAATATTTTTTAAATGTACTGGAATGAAAGTAAAAAGTAGGCCTCAAGAAAATAGAACATTTAATGTTAAAATGGTTGGCGTTTGAATTGCACCAAACGAAACAAATGTTTGCATGTAAATTCTTCCAAAAATTTGACACAGCTTTTGAATATCGATATAATTTTCCAGGAAAAAAAATCACGATATATTGCTGTATTGATATTTTCTTACGTCCCTAATATAAAAAATCATAAAACATTGCTCTTTTTGTTGCTTTACAGATACAGTTTATTAAAACTGGGTTTTAATTATTGAAAATGTAACAATTTAAAGTAGAGATGGACCAATACTGGTGTACAGATACAGATAACGGCAAAACAGATATTGCTGATATGTGCTACAAGTTTCAGATATCTAGATGTTTCCCACCTTATTTGCATGCTAAAAAGTCCCTAATAACAACAGTTGATGTGCATCGTTTCTACACCTCATCAGTTCTGGAACAATGAATGTCAGCAATGGCTGAATCTTAATTTCGTGCTCTGCTCAGTATTAAAATCAAACATTTAACCAAATGTAATTAAAAAATAAATCAATAAGTTGACCAAATAGTAAGTAAAAAAAACTGAAATTATAAAGAAATGTAATGCTGTTTAAAGAATTTATTAAGCAGGAATTTAAATGTACATCTAAATAAAATTCTCCAGAAGTACCGGGCTGGCCACGGATATGCCTGACTTTAAATCTGCTCACCAAAGAGGTATAGTGACAGGTGAAGAAACATTAAAAAAAAGGTAAATATCATCCCAATATATCAGTAGGCAGATATAATAATCTAACTCTAATTTAAGGTTCTACAACTCCATTTTCCAATTAAACTGCTTTATTTTGATCACCTAATTTTTTGTTTTGTTTAATTCTGCACTGATTCTGAATTTCTAACACTGTTTAAACAAAAAAACTGGTGTTTGGTCAGAGCTAAAGTGTAATCCTGTTTGTGGCCAGCCATGCATTTCCAGAGAAACATGAGGCATCTGAGGAATTAGAGAACGTGGATAAGAACATGTTATGATCTGAAATTAGCTGCACAACAGAGCATGTGGACCATGGGTAAGCTTGGATTGAGTAGAAAGAAAACAGCACTCTTAGTAAATGTACACGCCATAGAAATCCCCAAATTGTACCGATCTGGTGCCAAACATTAAACCATTTATTTTAAAGCTACTCATTGAATTTGAGCTGTTATTAAACACAGTAGGACCTCACATTATGCTCCCGTTGGAGATGTTGTTTTTAAAAAAAAACTCATACTAATTAGAGGATTAAAGTCACTCACAAACAAATAACAACATCCCTGTAATTTAGCTGAGATAATCATGGGTATTATGTCTGAACAGCGACTGGGAGCACCTATAAAACCGGGTGTTAGTGTAGGTCCAAATGGCAACACAGGGGACAAACCTGACTGGAGAAGATGGAGCAGATGGCCCTCCTGTGTGTGCTTTCGACTTGCTTCTCAGCTGTGCAAGCTCAGGTAAACACGCAGCGAGAGTCGGTCTCAGGTAGGATTCTTGCATGAACAAAACTCGCTTTTGCTTTTCTTGCAGAATTATTTGCTGAGTCCAAAATGGGTCCCTGTTGGCTTTAGAGGTGAAAACATTTGCTCTTTTTTTTGGGTACAACTTTGGCTCCGTGTGCACACTGACAAACCCTGCTGTTTTTAGAGCGTGAAGAGCGAGGCGATGCAACAGCGATGGATAAAATAATCCAAGCGAATGAGTTCCACGGTGAGTTTTGCCCACACTCTTCCTGTTTGTTTGCAGTTAGGAATGAGTGACAAATAGCTTGTGTTGGTTTAATTTCTGCTGATTTCAGCCACCAGAATCATTGATGGCACTACCACTCTCCGAGAAGGAGACATTGCTGTCTCCTCTGGAAGACGCTCCAAAGTCTGCTTTGCTCGAAGCTGCTTGTGGTCAAAGTCAGTGGATGGACATGTCTATGTCGCATACATGCTCTCCCCTGAATACAGTATGTAAAGTAATTTAATATGCTCAAATAAATGTTGCGATTGATCAGTTATATTCTGTTTTCTGTGCGTTTTTTAATTAATAATTAAAAACAGCTGAAATTGAGGAAAAGCTGATAAAGAAGGGGATGGACAACATCGAGGATGGTACCTGCATCCGTTTTGTTCCTCGTACTCACCAGAGAGACTACCTTGACATCCAATCAAAGTCTGGGTGAGTGATGAAAGGTGTGATTCAACCATCTTGTTGTTTTTAAGGTAATTTAGCAAAACGTTTTGTGTGCAAACGTGCTTCCCAACTTTTTATTTCATATTCTGCGCAATGGTGAATCAAGGTGTTGGTCCTACCTTGGCTCTCGTGGTGGAAGACAGACCGTGTCTCTGCAGAACCCTGACTGCATGCAGGTTGGCGTGATCTCCCATGAATTTATGCACGCCCTGGGCTTCGTGCACGAGCAGTCCCGCTTTGACCGAGACAACTACATCACCATCATGTGGCCAAACATTTGGAGAGGTAATAAAAAATAAAACACACCTACAGTGACATTTAAAAGAAAAAGTTAAAACTATTGTTTTCTATTTGCGTTGCCGCAGCGACTTTAATAGAAAACTATTTTAAAAGCCATGTTTAATTCATTTAAAATAAAGTGCTTTTCTTGATGGTTTTCTAACAGATCGGTTTAGAAACTTTGAGAAGTTCAAAACCGAGAATCTGGACCTTCCTTATGACTACAGCTCCATCATGCACTTTGGGATGTACGTATTGTTGTTTTTTTTTTATCTCTGCACACCGTGACTTTGTTCTTGCATGCTTTACAACACGTGTTCACGCTTAGGTATGCATATTCGATGGACGGAGAACCAACCATCGTTCCGAAGACCAACAGGAACATTAAGCTCGGCCAGGCGTCCTCTCTCAGCCACGTTGACAAGCTGAAAATCAACAGACTGTATCAGTGTGGTCCGTACTAATCGTATACTTAAGTCCGCCTAAAACGCGGTGGAAAATGTTTGACTTTTCTTTGTTTCTCTCTCTGCAGCTGTAAAAGACGATTAGCAACCGACCCAAACTGAACCCGAAAATGAATCCTCTGAGAGCAAATCGAGAATACAAACTTCTGCGACATCCTGCAACGATCCATTCAAGCTTTCTATCAGCGCTAACTTTGTTTAATTCAATTTATCTGTTTAAACAAATCGTGCTGAACGAGTAAGGAGAACAACTTCCTGTGAAACTGGATTAAAGCTTAGTCTTGTCATCTTTATGTTTCCACTCACTTCCTGTAATAAAAAATCATGAATCAAACCCTGCTTGCTTATGTGTTATGTTTTAAAAAGCTCTATAATAGAACAAACGGATAACTAATGATGCAATAATATGAATTAAAGTCACTATTTTATATCTGATAAACCACACCAGATTGTTTAATGAGCAGACGTGTTTAAAACCTTTGAATACAGATATTTCTGTGATAACATAACTGATTTCATAACCGTCACTCTTCCCTGAGTGCTCTTCCTTCATAATTGCCCCTTAATCAAAATAGAAATAGTATTTGGAGAGGGATAAAGTCCTGTTTGTATATATTTACCCACGTGACAAAGTGATTGTTGTTGTTATCTGATAGTATGTCACAAAATCACTGGTTACCAGTTCGCTCATACTCAAAATTGCTGGTCTGACTGGGTGGACAGTCGCGCCAATGATAGCAGCTGCTGAGCTGCAGCACATCCAGCTGCAAAACACCTCTAAGTGTCTCTTTTCTGAAAGTGCTGAGTAATGAAGGTCAGCATGTGGACCACCTGTTGCGGATCAGTAGTGGACTTGAGGAAATTACACCCACTGGATGATGAGAGGTCTTGTGCCGTGCTTCATCACAGAAGAGGGGTCCAATCAGTAGAAAGCTGCAGAGGAGAAGTGGGTATATAGATTCAGTGGAGGTGGCGACTTTTACGTTGCTTCTGCACTGGAAGACGACAAATTCAGACTCAAACATGCAATCTCTGATCCTTCTTCTGGGCGTCTTGTTCGGCTTTCCAGCCCAGGTGGATATGCTACCCGTTAAGGTGAGTAACCTGTGTTTTAAACGCATTTCTCTGCAAACTGGATGTGTTTACGTTTCGTTTTGTGTGACAGAATTCCACTGATGTTCTGGAGGGCAAGCCAAGACCAAAGAGGAAGTACTCTGGTGAGTTTTCTCTCATATACCAGTTATAATATTCTACACTTTTATTGTAATTCAGTCTTCAGAAAGATGAAAAGGAAGCGTTTCTTTGTTTTTCCTTCAGATGAAATTCCAGACTTTGATGACATGACTGCAATGGATCAAATCCTTGTAGTCAACAGCAGTAAGTTTTCACAAACTGATGCCGATCGAGGCTTTTGGGGTGTGTTCTGAACTTTTTGTTTTTAAATCAGGACTGCGAGTGCCCAGAGGACTGTCCTTCAGGGAGGGAGATATTGCCTACTCTTATGCACGGAGTGCCATAAACTGCCCTGACAACACCTGTCTGTGGCCTAAATCCATTGATGGATTTGTTTATGTGCCCTACATCCTCTCGCCCTTATATGGTATCAGCTTTCTAAGGTGTTTCGAAGATGGTTTGGAATCATTAGGTGTTCCAATCAAAGTTTTCCCTTTTCTTATGTAGATGACATGGACAGAATCACCATAGAAACCGGGATGCAGGACATTTCTGCCGGATCATGCGTTAAATTTGTTCCTCGCACTCATGAGGCTAACTTCCTTGACGTCCAGCCTCGATATGGGTGAGAAACGCTCCTTGTTAATTGATTTTTTTGTGTGTTTACGATGATTCGCATAGTACACTATGCTCTCTGTTCCAAGATGCTGGTCGTTTCTGGGACAGACTGGAGGAAGTCAGGTCTTGTCACTGCAGAGTCCTGGGTGCATGTGGGCAGGGATCGCTGCTCATGAGTTCATGCACGCGCTCGGATTTGTACACGAGCAGTCCCGCTCAGACAGAGACCACTACGTCACAATTGTATGGAAAAACATCATGCCAGGTTTGGATTCGGGACAACTTCCCAACAATACATCAACTGCACTAATTTAGGAACTCATTTTAGGTACATTTGATCTAAATTAAACTAATATTTTTGCTTGTTTGATTGTTTTAACAGAACATATCCATAACTTCAGAAAACAGGCAACGAACAATCTCAACAGCCCATACGACTACAGCTCTGTCATGCATTATGGACGGTGAGCTGCTGCTTCATAGCCTAGTGAACTAGACCAAATTCTTGCTTTGCAAAGAATGGTCTAGGCATGCTCCATTGGAACCTCAGCAGCTCCTACCAGGACTCTGGCTAGCCAATCACAGCTCTCTAGAGGGGTTTCAAACACATAAAGAGCTGTGATTGGTCCATAATGGTGGGCCAATCATAGTGCTCTATCTGCTTAGTGAACAAATCACAGAGCTTTATTCGCTTTGTGGGCCAATCAGGGCACTCTATATGCCTGGTGGGTGGGATGATGCAACAGAGTGAAACAAGAGTATGTCACATTCATTGTCCAGTGGAATGCGGAGATCATTTGAAAGACAACGGTAGAACCCGCCCCACAACCGAGAGCCGTCAATGGAGCGTGGCCAGACTAAATAATACATTTATTTAGTCTGGCTTGCCAGGTCTGGCTAGCTGCTTCAGGCAACATAATCATATGTCTTCTGAGATTTTTCGGTGGCATCATTTTATGCATCTCTGATTCAGATACGCCTTCTCTGAAGACGGTGGACCAACAATCATTCCCAGACCAGATCCTTACATTCCAATTGGCCAGCGAGACGGACCAAGTGCTCTGGATCTTCATAAAATTAACACCCTGTATGACTGTGGTAGGTATAATGACACAAAACAACTTTATTATTTAATTATACTCATAATCGCTGATCTCTTATAGATTTTTTTATTTGATTTTCTCTCCAGGTCCTAATGAGTAACTAAATCTCTGTGGAAATCTCTGCTCTAAAGTCCTGCCGAATGTGGAAAATAGTTTATTATCATTCAGGCTAATTCATTTTTAATAGGCAGAATTTTTTTTTGTGTGTGTTTGTGTTTTTAGTTTGTGTCGGCTTTTAGATTGTGTCCACTCATCTTTGGGTACAAATCCATTGATTGCCATCAAACTATTGGATATATCAACTAAAATATGAATTCTATGAATATTCAGCCTCCCCTGTGACAAAGCTTTGTAGATAATAATTTTGTACAATCGTCTGCTCTTTTTGCTTTTGCTTTTTGATTCCTAATAAATAAAATGCAACAGAAAAAAGTTGTGGTCACTTTTACATATGAATCATCTGTGTTTTTCAGCAATAAATGAACAAATCAATTAAATTCTATTATGCTGTATTATTTTTCGCACAAGATCTTAAGAAAATCTTGTACTTTCCCGTTGACATGCCAAATCATCACACATGCATGTGAACAAAATGTATATTTAGACAGGTTTGATTAGGCTTCTATCAATTATTCATTTCTTACAAAAATGCATTTTTTGTGACTTAATGGTGTGTTATTTGTGCCTTTCTCATGTAGCTTTGATACACATTAAATTTACTTATTTTTACATAAACTGGAGGACATCAAAGGAGGAGCATTAGATTTAATGATGAATTCTCATATTTAATTGTATTAGGTAAATTACTTACTGTGAGTATTTCCCATTATTATTATTATTATTATTAGTAGTAGTAGTAGTAGTGTTGTTGTTTGATTATTTTCTTCTAATTGAATCCAGCCCTCTAATGCAAATATATATATATAATTCTACAGATGTTTTTCCATTGACATAGTTTTATTTTGTAGCTCTGCGCTACTTTTGAAAAAGAAAACTGGTTTCCGCTGAAGGGCTGAGCGCGTTTGAGTGACGTCATTTTGATTTCCAGGCTGTTTGTCAGTCTTTTCTAGCTCAATGGAACACAACAGTAACCCTCCATCTAGAATAATCACTATCAATAAAATGAGTGACAAAGAGCAGGTATGTGTGAACTTTTTTTTTATTTAGCTTTTTTTTATTATTTTCAATTCGTTCATGATTAAAAAGTGATTCTCTTCCGAGCACCGCGTTGTGTTTTTCGGCTAATGCTCTTTCTGTTTGCTAACTCGTGTTTTTGGTCAAATGTATCATGTTTATTTACTCCACGAAGCATAACAGTGTTAAATCGGTCGTTTTTTCCCTACGAGAAAGCATGTAGGATGAAAATTATATTATTTAGCTTCTGTGAATTAAGCTAGCTGGCTAAGGCTAACGTGTAGCTAGGCCTCAACTTCTGATTACTTTTGTTGCGATATTGGCAAAGGTCTACCACAACCCGCAAAGAAATACATTAATTTTTAAACCATTCAAGCATTTTTAGAGGTAGCTGTTGCAACTTGAACACATTTTTAGCTGAAATGCTAATTATGCTAATGGAACATGCTAGAAGGAAGTAGACGCTAGGGCTTTTTAAGCCATAAAAATTATCGATGAAAGGCTATAATTTAATCATTTGTAGTGCTTTATTCATGTTAACTGTGTGTTTGGCTGCAACTTCGTGTTTGGGTGATTTGCATTTGGTGAAACGGTCAACGTGTTATTGCATTTATCAGCGCAGAAATGTAAAAATAGAAACTCAAAAGGCCTCAAGATGTTTCCTCTTTCATTTACCTGTCAAAGACGAAGGTGGCACTACACTGACTCGATCCGATCAGACTAGAGGCTGTTTTAAATGCTAATTGTTTTTCAGAACCTATTGGGAAATTGTAATATTTAAGGAGATTATTGAGATAATCTTCAAATATCTATTTCTATAAATTAATTAGCTAAAATAAGGATTGTATGTTTACACCCAGAAATAGTCGGGGTTGAAAATCTCTGTAATGGTTATTTTTTAAATCAGAAGCTGAAATTTGGTAACTTCTAAATGTTCTGATGATGCAAATTTATTTGTCTACTTCTCATTTAGTGACTTGCACAAACATCTTGTGATTGATTGGATATTTGATATATTATTTGGGGAATAAGAATAACTTGTGCCTCGTTTGTTTTAAACTTTTTTCTTAAAATCACACTGAAGATCTTTCGAGTGCTGATGATGGGAAAAAAGTACAAACGAGAGGTGTTTGCATCTTGTGGTCATTTTTGTCTGACCTTGCAGTTATTATTTGTAAAGGGTAAAGGACAAATAAGTGGGTTTATTCTGAAATGTAGCTTATTCACATTCAGTGGTTTGAAATGACGGTGAACCATTCATTTTTATAATTTTTTTATGGATGAATAAAACTCCATTGTTGTGTTTTTTTCTGGTGCGACACGTCTCATGCTTTTGTTACGTTCAGGTTGATAAACTAATTGTGTTTATAATTCTCACTTTTCAGGTTGAGCAGTGATTTTTTAAAGATCCCTGCACCCTCCTTCACTTGCTCGTTTTAAAAAACGCGTTGTAAATTGTTAAACAAAATGTGCCAGTAGGGCGTAGAACCACTGAAAGTGAATTATCTTAAAAAAAAAAAAAAAACTGAACATTTGTAATCTTTCTATTTGTGCTAAAAGATCCTGATAACACATGACTGATAACACATGACAAAGTTGAATGAGCGTGCCCTGTTAACTGTAGTCATATATTCTTCATCTTCTTTTTCATTAAGGTTAAGGTTGGACGAAGAAAATGCAGAAGAAGTCTCATGTCCACTTTATTTTCAGTAATATGAAGCTGAGATGTGTGAAGCTGAATTGTTGAATGCATGCTAAAACATGAGGAGGGAAGAACTATGAGCAGTGTGTGTGAAGGGAGAAGTCAGAAGATTTAAGACAATTGAAGAAAGAAGAATAATGTGAAGTAATGAAGTTACAGAAATGAAGTTAAGGAAGTAATCTGGATAAGGTCACTGCGCTAAGTAATTTTCTGGTCTACTTGTCAAATGCGTGCATGTTTTATTTTGTTGAATACAACACAAATTAAATTTTACAATTGAAAAATTTATTTGAATTGTAATTAAGTTAATGTAATCATTGTTGCTATTATAACCTTGGTTGTACAAAGTAACATTAAACATTTATATTTACAAATCAATTTTTTCTACAAATTAACAGGATATATTTAATTCCTATCTCTTTAGAGACTTTTTAAAAAAATGTTCAATATCACATCTGTGATGATAACTGTGTGTGTGTGTGTGTGTGTGTGTGTGTGTGTGTGTGTGTGTGTGTGTGTGTGTGTGTGTGTGTGTGTGTGTGTGTGTTCAGAAGTCTCGCTCTGCTTCCAGGAGCGTGAGCGCACATGGTTCTGGGAAGTCGGCTAGTCGCTCCCGCTCTAAATCCTGGTCTCGCTCCAGGTCCAGGTCTGGGTGAGTTACGAAGCAGCGCTCAGGTGGACTGGACTGAAACGGCCTTGAACTCGTGTGAGGGTGGAAACATTGTCTCTGTCTCTGCAGATCACATTCCCACCGTGGCTCCCGCAGACATTACAGCCGCTCTCGGTCCCGCTCCAAGTCCTATCACCGCAGATCTCGCAGTCGGTCCCACAGCGGGGAACGTCGGCGCAGAAGCCATAGTCACTCCCCTATGTCCAATCGCCGCAGGCACATTGGCAACCGTGTATGTCCTCATTGTTTAGATACATTTCTTTGAATCTGCTCAGCATGAAATTTATAAGCAGATAAACCTATTATTGACCTAATCTTAATATTGCAACAGGCTAATCCAGATCCAAACGGTTGCCTGGGAGTGTTTGGCTTGAGCCTGTACACCACAGAGAGGGACCTAAGGGACGTCTTCTCTAAATATGGACCCCTGGCAGATGTTAGCATCGTGTACGACCAGCAGTCAAGACGCTCCAGGGGCTTCGCCTTTGTTTACTTTGAGAACACAAACGATGCTAAAGAGGTAAAATAATATTTGTTGATTTAAAGAGAAAAAAAATACCTTTCAGATCTATTATTAAAAAAAATTCCATTGAAGGCTGTGTTGATTTTTGCAGCCAGGAGAGAGCAGAATGCATCTCTGCTAGTAGAATTTAACTGTTAGCATTAGCAACTTCACAACATGGCAGAAGTCCTTCAATCTTATTTGTGAAGATTACACATCAGTGTTGCAGAGCAAACAGAGGCAGTTTAAGAGTCGTTTCTGCCCCTCACTCATCCATCTAACTTCTACTTCTGAAAACAGGAGCGCCAGAGCTTTTTTTCCCCTGAAAATGACTCAAAACATTCATTCTGCAGACCACAACAAATGTATTGATGTGTTGTCTTTTTATGCTGTCAGGCGAAGGAGCGTGCGAACGGCATGGAGCTGGATGGTCGCAGAATCAGGGTGGATTTCTCCATCACGAAAAGACCTCACACCCCAACCCCAGGGATCTACATGGGACGACCCACGTAGTAAGTCAACACAAACATAATATTTACAGCAAATAAGAGAAATATTAATGCTTTCACATCCGTTTTTAGTGGTGGAGGCGGTCCCGGTGGGCCACGGCGCAACTCACGTGACTATGATCGTGGATATGATCGTGGTTACGACAGAGGCGGCTACGATCGCTATGACGACAGAGAATACTACAAGTCGTACAGGTGACAGTCCCTGTCTGTCGGCTTTAGTCAGGATGATTTCATTAGAACATTGATCCTTTTTTTAGGCTCTTATTAAAAGTTTTTTTTTGTGTTTTTAAAGACGCCGCTCTCCATCGCCGTATTACAGAGGAACATACAGGTCTCGGTCAAGATCACGATCATATTCCCCGCGTGAGTGCTCAGAAATCGTCACCTCTTATTGAAACCATCATAGTTGGGATTATTCTAATGAACTTGTTCTCTCTCTCTCTTGCAGGTCGATATTGAGCTGTTCCAAGCGGCTTTAATTCCCTCTCCTCCCATGAACAGGAATTTTTCTGAGAAATATCTTTAACTTTGTACTTTTTTTCTTCTTTAAGGGATAGTTGGGTTTCTTAAACTTAGGAACGTGTGTCTTCAGTCAGTTGAATGTGGCAGAATTTGTTCCAGTTGATCAGTTCTTGTTTATTGTTTTAATTGATGTTTTTTTTAAGTTTTTGAACCCGATGGACCTCATACTCCCATGTTCTGGTCGTTTGGCTTTGAAGACTCCTCACACGTGGCCTGTTGGCGATCGCCAATAGCAACAGTGTGAAATGACGGTATCTGTAATACAGCCTAGTAATGGTGAAGAAACCACTTTATCCCATTAAGATTACAGCTTATACATAATCACAGGAAGTGGTGAAGCAGTCCTCTTATTGTTGTACATTTTAAATGTGAAGGAAAGATTCGTAGTTCTAAATGTGATAATTTATGGTTCACAAACTGAGTGACATCTCATTCTTGAACAAATAAAGAGGGAGTATGTTTTTTTTTTCACCTTGACCTGGTTTTTTAAAATTTATTTATGGCCTTGAGCAGTTAAAAATAACTAAGAATTTAGTAAAGCTTTGTAGTTTACAGTGATGGAATAAAGAAAAAGCTGAGTCTCTAATGTTCTCAATGTTTTTTCACCATATTTAATTATTGGACTCAGTTTATAACAAAGCTCATAAAACTGGTTCAACAACTACCCCTGCTGGTCTACGAGAGCCTCTGAGAAGTCCTAAATCTGCGTCTACTGCATAAATCACTCATTTAAATTAATGAAAGGGCACGATTGTTGACACAGACTTAAATGATTATTTTATTTAACGGTTTATATGCTTCCCTTAAAATTTTAGAATCAACATTTTTTATTGCAAATTGGCAGAATTAAATTAGGGAGAATTATGATTGAAAATAATCACTAGTGTGGTTGTCTAAATCAGGCTAAACATTCAATTTGGGCAAAAATTTCTGTTTTATTTAGTATTAAAATTAAAATGTAATTTATTTCTAGTTTGATTTATGTTATGTTTTTCATGGTTCTCATGTAAGGTAAAAACATGATATTTACTAGGATGCATGTTTATGTCCTTGGCTCAGGTAATTAACTAATATTCTTTATTTTCTAGTTGCAAACAAACTGAGTTAGGCACATTAGGTTACAGCACGCCTGCTGAAAAAGCTGATATTAATTTATTTGAAATGACAGTTGATTTGAAAAAAAAAACCTAATTTTATTATAATAAAAAAATGGATGAATTCCTGAAGTGGGAGCAGAGAGAAGACAAACCAGTAGAGGACCACACCTTGGAAACTGCCTATTTCCATGTTCTACCACATATGTGTGCGTTGCTACACTCGTTCTCTCCAAATGTCACATCCCTTCCACTTGCTGTTCGTTTTCCTTTCAGAGTGGAAACTTTTATGCCTGATTTGATGACATGTTGACCTATTTGGGCAAAAGTTTGAATATCCAGCTCAACAGAAACAAAAAAGCAATCGGCTAATAAGATAAATGAATAATTTCTGTTTAAAAATACGCTTTTTAAAATAAAACTCATACATCAATAGCATTTTTACAATTTGAGATGTCTTTTCCCACTTCCTTGGATGGCACAAAGTGTGTAAGAAGGGCATGCCATCAGGGAAGTAACCCAAGAGCTTTTATTTTTTTGTAAATAAGCCAGTTTGGACATTCCTCTGGCAACTGATGGAAACAGGGCGGGAAGGAATGGTCACTCCGGCTGCTGCTGCTGCTCTCAGCACCACAGTGGGGTGGCAGTAATGCTCCAAACCCTCAGAAAAAAAGAAAACAAAATTAGTCACATGTAAGTCAACAAAGCTCCGCCCCTTTGTAGGCACAAAACTACAACATCCATGTGTGAGCAGCTGCAGCTGCCGCCTTAAGCATGCTTCCCTCCCAAACACACCCATTTACACAACCAGCTCTGCAAATAAAAATGTGCATGGGATCAATGTCTACGAAAGAAGGAAAGACTCCATTTAATAAGCTACAACATTAATCATTTTTATGTACAGTACTGGCCAAAACCTTGGAAACATCTTCTAATTCAATGTGTTGTCTTTATTTTCATGACCATTTACATCGGTAGATTCTCACTGAAGGCCTCAAAACTATGAATGAACACGTGGAGTTGTGTACTTAACCAAAAAAGGTGAAATAACTGAAAACATGTTTTATATTCTATTTTCTTCAAAATAGCCACCCTTTGCTCGGATTACTGCTTTTCACAATTTTGGCACGATGAGCTTCAAGAGGTAGTGCCCTGAAATGTTTTTCCAACAGTCTTGAAGGAGTTCCCAGAGGTATTTAGCACTTGTTGGCCCCTTTGTAAATGGTCATGGTCATGAAAATAAAGAAAACACATTGAATGAGAAGGTGTGTCCAAACTTTTGGCCTGTACTGTATGTGAAATGGATCAAAAACATCAGGAGACAATCCCCTAATTATCATTGTTCAGTGTTTATTCTATAGCATCAAATATTTCAAGTAAGTAGGTACAAAAACTTTATTACCATAAGTAGAAATTCTGGGTATCCGAATGTCAGTGGTGTCATTTCCACACACTTACCTGTATTTTTTACTTCTTACATTCTAAAAACATCACGGCTACAACTATTTTATGTTGGCTTGTCATAAAAAAACCACAAGGACAAAAAGTCCTAATAGTGAATTTGACTGTGGTTGGATAATTGTAAACATCCACCATTACGACACCTTTTTGGTTTTTAACATCCACATGTGGGTCTTTAATGTTTGCATCCCACTAAACTGTGTTCATTTTCAATGAGCATATGTGGTTAATACATGTAGCTTAGTGTTGCCCAAATTTGTCAACGTTAACATTTTTATATGCCATTATATTCAATAAAGCCTTTAAAAAATAAAAAAGTTTTTGAGAGGTGTGGTAGCGTTATAACACGGCTTAAGATTTCACCCTGGATTTAAAAAAAACTTACTTTACTTTTACTTTTATACTTTAAAGCCAAAATTCTGTGTTTTTTCTTTTCTTTTTTTGGTTTTTGTCAGAGGGCACCATCCAGAGGTGGAAAAAATGCTCGCACCTTAATATAGCAATAGCAAATTTGGAAAACAAATTAGCTTAAAAACTTTGTTTTCATGCCTCTTAACAATGTTCTAACAGTATAGCTATAAATATATTGTGAAGGTAAAAAAAATGGTTATTTTGCATTTGTCTAAAAACCTCGGCTAATAACACCTTTTGGACCTAAAGTAACTATTGGACCATCTTGTTGTCGTTTTTGCCGAATCGCCGAACTTCCCTGGGTCCTCCATTCATTACACACTCTCGTCTTTTGCAACAGAACACCACCGGTGTGAGAGATTCTCCACTCTCTAATAGCAGAGAAGGAGAAACAACCAACTGCTACCACTTCAACTTAAGGACAAACTACCAGAGTCCCAAAAAGACAAAAGTGTTTAGATCTCTTTTGTTTTCACTGGTAAGGAGATGTTAAGACTGTCACTTTTTCAAATTTCTAAAAAGAAATCATACATAAATCCTGAAAGGGGGAGGGGGCTCTGGATTGCTGCTTTAATTGGATCACTTTTCTTTTTATACATTTACGTACTTTTGAAACCAGTAGGGGTTGTATTAACTAGCTGGCTAGTCAACTTCACTGCTCTGTACTGACTTTTTATGACTTTCATAGACTAGTCGCTGTCACGTGATAATGACCGACAAGATGGAGTCCTCCAAAAAGACAGCAGGTGATGAGCCCCTGAGCGTCGGGAGGCGACGCATTGTGCCATAGTGTCGGTATCTGACGCCTGCGGTAAAACGGACATTTGACCGAATTGTGACCTTTACCCTCTTGCATTTTAACCTTCCCCTCACCCCCATCCTAACCTTAACCAGCTTGCGCATGCAAAGCTCTGTTTCGCGTTTCATCGTTCCTCTCAAACACGCTTCACGGAAGATTTAGACTGGCATACTGGGTAAAGGTTAGGGTGGGGGTGAGGGGAAGGTTAAATAGCAAGAGGGTAAAGCTCACAATTCGGTGAAATCTCTGTTTTACCGCGGGCGTCAAAAAGTGACGCGCTGTGCCAGAGCGTCACCTCCCGATGTGCGTCGGAAAAAAATACGCTTGGTCACCCATCGTCAGTTTTAGCTGCTTCAGGTGTATGACATCATCAATGAATAGTCAAAGTCAACTGGATTTTCATTACTTGACTGTCAACTTAAAAAAAATTAAGTCATGCAGCCCCTAGAAATCACTACTTTTTACTTTCATTCAAGTAAAAAGCTTGAATTGATACTGCAGCTCCCACAGAAGTGTTTGTAAACCATCTAAACTTACCTGAGTAAAGAATGTAAATATGTTTGACACCCCTGCTAACATCATAATAAAAGTCTTGAGTAATTTAAAGTGGCCCCCTTTCCCCCCAGCCCTCTTTAAAAACTTTCTGAACGCACCCCTGCTCCTAAAATATTACAAATTTTACTCAGTATTCATGTTTTTCCTATATAATAACCCCAAATAAAGATTAAGATTATCAAAAGAAGTCATTTAAACTGGCTAATGATATCCACATGGTACAACAGCTGTGTGGTTTCACTTTCTTTTCTGGGATTTTGCGCACAAAATACAACAAGATCCTCTTTAAAAGATGCTTTAATCACCTGGAACAGGTGCTCGCTGCTGAATGAACCCCGTAAATTCATATTGCGTCACCCATAAATAAATAAATAAAACAAGGATGGGGTCAGTGATAAGTACAGTGACAACGATTTGATTTTCCACACAGTAGCTCCTATTCACACACACAACACCTCCCCCCAGCCTGTAGGGACCCACGAAGGCACGGCCCTTATTATGATTTGATGAAATAACCCCTGTGCCTCCTTCTTTAAGCCCATCCCTTTGCTGAATGCACCCAGTGATCATCATGCCACTTTCATACGCTGCACTTTCCACGCAGGACGCGCAGCAGCCATCCCACATGCACCTCCAAACATTTTTTCTCGTGATTTTTAAGGGAGATTTTATTTAGAGGCGGCGCTTGTTCCGGAGCAGCGTCGCAGCGACACTTTTTTCTCTCTCTTTCCTCCCCCCTCCACCTCCCCCCAATCCCTGTTGAAAGAGTTTGACCAGGGCCAGAGTTTGGTACTGGGGGTCGCTCATTTAGCTCAGTAATAACCTGAAGGGTGATTGCTGTGCTTTTTTTAACCCAGCATTTTTTTTAAATTTATTTTGTATTTAATTTATTTTTTTAAACTCTTGACTATCCTATTAAGATCTGGCAGCCTTTCGAGATTTTTCCTTTCAGATCATGAACAAACTATATGTTGGGAATTTGAGTCCTTCGGTCACTGTCGAGGACTTGAAGCAGCTCTTCGAGGAGAAGACGCTGCCAGCGCCCGAGCAGGTCCTGCTGAAACCCGGCTATGCTTTTGTAGACTTCCCCGATCAAAACTCGGCCATAAAGGCTATTGAGACTCTATCCGGTAAGTGTGCGATGGATTTGATAAGTGATGCTGCAGAGTGACAGGGGGACATAAAACCACATTTAAAAGAAAAAAGGAGAGCACAATAGGGCTAGGGTGCCCGAAATGTGAATTATGCATCACTGATTGTTGTTTTTATTGTTTTGCATGGGACAGTGTTTGCGATCTGTGCCATCAGAGTTGTGGTGAACGCTGTAGTCATGCACGCTCCACGAGCAATTGGATAAATGATCGATCCCAGAACACACGGTGGATTTAGAGCCCGTTTGCTACAAGAAAACACCGTCGTTACGCAATTTACGCGCACAATGACCTTTATTTTTCACCAAGGGGAGAGATTCCGATAGTGCGAGGCTACTTTTTTCCTCTAATTTGAAAATGAGGAGAGAGAAAAAAATCACCCGCTGGAATGTATGGGATGGTCTGGCGGTTCGGGGGTAGGCATAATTATTTTTCACTTATTTTCCATCCTGATTTTATTGAGGTGCGCAGAGCAACGCGAGCGCGGAAAACTTGTCGGAACCGTGTTCCTGTGATGTCTGGCTATGTTTTTACGAGGTGTCTTGGAGGTGGGTCACGGGGGTCCGGAGGAAAGAGCTCAAAAACACGTAGCTGAGGGGGACAAGGTGAGACGCTAATTCCGTGTGCTGCTGCTGCTGCGCCAGGCCACTCGTGTACACGCCGTGTTGGTGAAGCCTCTTCAAAAGGAGCGCTCCAACAAACATGACCCCTCAATACACACTACACAGTGGCTGGAAATTAATAAAAAATCACCTTCCTAACAACACAAACCCAACAAGTCCCTTTAAACCTCCCCCCTTTGGAGCAGAAACAACACAACCTCACTGCTGGGTGTTGTGGGAGTGGAAAGCATGGCTGCCCATCGCTCCCCCCCCAAATATACTACTATATATAAATATACTATTAGCTGCTTCTTTTTTTAAGAGTGGCCCCAATAACATCAACTGTCATTTAAAAATGTCACATTTTAGTTGTTTTATTGTAAATATAAGAGTTAGTCTGCTGCACGCGCGTGGATAGCCACTTCTGCACGCGCTGGTGACGTGATCAAAGTGCTTATGACATATATGATCCATTTCCACCTTCGCAGGTAAAGTTGAATTACACGGAAAGGTGATAGAAGTAGACTACTCTGTTCCCAAAAAGCTAAGGTAGGCCCCACGAGCTCACACACACACACACACACACACACCACACACACACACACACACACACACACACACACACACACACACACACACACACACACACACACACACACACACACACACACACACACACACACACACACACACACACACACACACTGTGCCTTGGCCCCATGGCAGAGTGTGACCTGTAGGCTTCCGCTGTGGAATATAGCAAGCTGATTTGCCCGTTTTCTCAAAGTGCTGCGTGATATTTTCTCAGCCTGCTGATGTTTTTGTTGCTTGGTGAGGAAAGCTAATTGTGTGGTGGCAAAACAAATGATTAGAGACAGAAAAAGGGAAGAGTTTGGGTCCCAACATCCGTAGAGAACACATCACAACACAGTGGCTGCTGCCATGTTGCTTGATGTGTGCAGCGAGGCCTGTCCCTCTGAAACACGGACACACACTGCATACATGCAGCTGAATACTGATTAATATTTGCCAATCAAAGCCTTCAACTGCTTCCATTTTCTCCTTTTTTGCTTTTGTGGACGGAAGATTTCTCTTTTTAAGCTCCTGAATATTTATTTTATTAAAAAAAACATAATTCATGCTTCAGTTTTAGATTTTCCACATCTACAAACGCCAGAAACCGTCACGTTTCATTTGAATGTTTGAAAAAACAAGTATTGTCTTGCGTGCATAATGCGTTTAAAGCCCCGTGATCTTTGGCACATTACGCAACCTATTTTACCCAGATATAAAAAAACGCATTTCTATAGGGGAAAAGAGTACATTGCGTGACAAAAAGGTAAATATTCAACCCCCTTGTGGAGGAACACGTGACGTGGTGTGCTCCCAGTGTAGTCCTCCCCCTCCAGTGCACGCCACACTTTTACTGCATTACTGTCCCTTTTTTCTCTCCGCTCTCCTTTTTACAGAATATTAAATGTGTAAAATGCGCATTCATCGAGCTTCCGTGCCCTTTTCTCGATTTATGCGCGTTTATTTATTTATTTATTGAGCTGCAGAAAAAAAGAAGGCGCAACACGGTGTCAAATCGTGCGCCACTCCCCTCAGTTAATGTGCACGTAGGCCATGAAAATGCTGGAGCCCTCATAATGGCTGCCATGGCGGACTCAAGACAGAGCAAAATGTCCATACGGTGCATGTGACTGCCATGTGTCCAATCTGCAGTTTGTGCAGCTGCTGGCTGGACCTGCGAGCGTCCTCTGAAAAGGCCTGAAAGCGAAAAAAATTAAACACATATTCGCCGTGTCGGTGAGCTGCTCAGCAGTGCGGCGTGCGTGCCTTACGTACAGGTGTTGATTTTAAAAATGCACCTCCGTGACTGGATCTACGAGGGCCGCGCTGTCACATCACATCGATTCAAAAATTATTTTTACCACGTAAAACGGTTTAAATGTAAAAACTCGTCTTCATTTCTAACGAGCGTCCGAAGGCGTCAACAACGCAAAGTGGTTTGTGAATCTAGAGTCTAAAGTGAATTAACGTAGTTTATAAAAGTAGTTAGGACATTTAATGCCAATTTATTCTCACACACGCTTTAAACGCACCATGGGTATATTTAGAATAACTATACATTTTAATTTGTGATAATTTAAAAAATACATAAATTGTATAAAATTTTATTTTCATAAAAGTATTGTGTATTTATTGTCTTGTGGGTTTAAAAGAGTGACTGAAAATGACATTTTAGGATGACGGAAGCAGTGTGAACTTGTGAGTTTTCATCACACCTGTAGTCTCTACTGTGTTTGCTGTTGGTTTATTTATTTTGTTTTGTTTAATATTTACCTGTCTCGTAAACATGGACATAAAGTGATGAACAAATAAAATACGTCTGCATTAGCGATGAAAACATTTTTATTTGAGGGACTGGGCCTTTAAATTATGCTGTTTGTAGTTTTTCTTTATATTTTGATGTTTTTTATGTTCTGAATGAGATAACTTCTTTATAACTTTAAAAAATGTTTCTGAGGAAAAAGCAGAATAAGTAGTAGTATTAGTGTTTTAGCAGGTATTCAGTTGTTTTGAACACTTCTTGCATTATATTATTAATGTGAGATCTTTTATAAAAAGGCCAAAACAAATTTGTAGATTAAAAACCTTTTAAATTCTCAAAATCATGCCTTTTGGTCATTTTTAATGTCATGTGAGTGATGTGGTGGCTGAAAATAACTCAAAGTTATTAAATTATTGTTATCAGTAAATTTGATTCAAAAGAGGATTATCACAACATAGGAGAATAATATCCTGCTGAGCCTTTTTGATTTTCTGCATGTTTTTAATTGTGGCTCATTATAAAAAAAATATGAAATATACAAATAATGTGTTATTAATATAAAGCGATGCACACATAGAACTGTGGAGCTATAAATTTGTTTATTTGTTCAACAGCTGACGTAGTAAAAACACCTTTCTCTGCTAATTACGTCTCAGCCTTGACTTTAAATGAAAACAAGATTCATGAATTAAAGCGGTGAACTCAAAAATGAGGGCAAACTTTTCGTTTTACACACATACAAATAACCCATTTGTTCATTTCTTTTGACAAAGGCATAAAAACTAAGACCTGGGTGTAAACATCTGCATTGCACCGTGCAGTGTTGCCCGTGCAGATGTGTGTGTTGGCTTGTCAGCGCCCTCTAAGTCAAAACAGCGAAACACGATAGCCATCAGTTGATCCACTCTGAATCCATTAATACTCCCTAGTTGATCCCGGTTGAAGGGGAGGCTCTCCGGTTAGTCCGCATCCTCATGCCTCCTCCTCCTCACCTGTCCATCAGGAGGAATAAATGATCAGTTTATGGGGAGCAAATTGTTTCTTCTCATCACTTTTTGCCTCCAAACAGATTCACGACCAATTTGTCAGCATGGATTTCTAACATCCACTTTGCAATAAATTCAGGGCTAAGCTTTGATGTAAAAGAAGCAAAGAGAGAACCAGGACCATCAGAAATGTCAAAGAAACTAGCAGCTGCTCATTAGGGGTCACCATGGTAACCACACCCCCAGGAATGCGGTTCAAAAACTGAGCAAACAGACAAACAACTGGAAGTCACACGGAAACATGTCTTCAACTTTAAGGAGCGTAAGAATTTGATGGTCACACATTTGAACTTTTATGTTTCTAAAGTGATTTATGACATCACTTCCTGCTTGGAAGAGAATATTGGTACAGGGAGATCGATGCATGCTGTGCAGTCTGAGGGGATCTGATAGGAAACTAGTTTCGGTAGCAGCGAGAGATGCGCTGAGTGGAAGGAGACAAAATATGTTGACATTTTGATGTATAATTTGATGATTATGCATAAATAAAAATAAAAGACAAAAATTGACAGGTCAAAAGTTTGTGTCAGCTGTCAACAATTCTATGAAAATCATAAAACTTAAAAAGTTCACCTTTCTGTGACACATTTAAACTTGAAATAATGCTTCTGCTGCGAGCTACGCCTGAGCTAGAGGTCTCTGAAGCGGGTGGGGTTTCCTCTCCTGCTTTTGTCAAAATCACCTTGTTGTTTATTGGAATATTTCTGGCAGTTTTTTGCAGATTTTTCATCACAAAATCAAACGAGGACACTTCTCTCATTTGAGCTGCTGGATCTAATGCATGCTATGTTTTTTCCTCAAAAGCTACAAGAAAAGAGTAATTATAGCAATCAGTGTGCATCAGTTATGCATCGAAACCCTTACTGGTGTTTTATTTGTTGTAAATCAACCTGCAGCTTTTGTTTTTGCGGCATTTAGGTTGCTGCTTTTGGAATTAAACACCCTTTAAAAGCTGTAAAGCAGTTCTCTTTTTCTAGAAAGTAGAGTTTCTCTCCTAAAGCGATAACAGATCTGCGTGCACACAGCTTAAGGGAGAAGTTCGGATTGGATGTGAGAGAATAGTAAATCCATTGTGTGCCTGTCAGAGCCATCAGACAGACGTTTGAGCTCCCCGAGAGTTAGAAACACTTTCACATATTCCTTTCCTTTTCACTTTTTCTTGTACTCCAACACTCGTGCGCCTTTCACAGCAACATCTGCGCAGAGTCACTCCTCAAGAAGCCGCTTTTCACATTCCACTGCAACCTGTTGCATGACTAATATGTTGCGGCGGTGCTACACTCATCACAACCGGGGTTTTAATAATCAGTTGCTCTGTAGAGGAGGTGTGGAAGGCGTGGCTCCGAAGGGGAGGATCACTCAGACCTGATGACTTGGTTCATGACTAAGCCTCTGAAAAGAGGAGATCTTGTTTTTACCGGAGAGGAAGTACGAGAATAGGAACCGATGCACTGCTCTTCTGATTTCGTCATAAAAGTCATCATCCATAGCATAAAAGTTACTTCCTGTCACAGACAAGAGTCGTAATGTGTCCCTGATATCTTCCTATTTGTCTGTTTGCACAATTGACGGTGCGATCATCTCCAATCCGAGAGCTGACGGATGTTATTGTGGGCAGATGTCTGAACTAGCCCCCTAAACAGGGTTTGATGAACATGCTGGAAGGCCAAAATGTGCTGGATGGGATTTAACGAGATATAAATCAGGATTATGAGCCAAGTAGTTTGTGTTCCTTTTTCGGAAAATAATTTGGAAGGCGCAACAGCTGCTCGAGCTCCCCTTCCCGCTCAGCATCCTCCTGTTGGTTGTGAAGTGGTGAGGATCCAAATACAGAGAGACAAAGAGATCCAGAAGTCAGTCAGGTGAAGTCGGAACAAAAGGTTTTTATTTTAAAGAGCTGCGAGCAGGACAGGGATGAAACACGCATAACGAAGGAAACGACAAGAGCAACTGAACGAGCAAGTGTGGTACATAAAGGGGAGTGATGAGACAGGGAACAGATGTGATTAATTACTGATTAAAGGTGCGGAGCACTGAAAACCCACGTTTCAATGATTATTTCTGATAATAATCGGTCACTCTGGGTTTTTAATGCAGGCTGAACAGGAATCTATCACCTGCATTGGCTTCTGATAGAAAACAGATGGTGAAAAGCCTTACAATAAGGA